CGACCGCAGCGTTCATGTGATAACAAAGTGAAACAAAGATCTCTCGAGAATTTGAATAATAGCGACTCTGAGCAGCAAAAGACTTCGACAACTGATCCAATGGCCACCAAAGTTGGCGATGAAAACGAGTCCACTATTACAAAGTCATTGTATACGCCGAGCAGTGATTTGATTGACTCGTCGGACGAGTGCTATGTACTGACGTCTGTTGACAGCGACGGCGCCGACAACTCGTCCATCGATTCGCTGAAAGCCAAGAACCACTCCATCGGCAGTGATATCATCACTTTTGTGGACGACTCGGACGTCGAGGACAACAACAATCATAAGTACAAATTGGACGCAAACTATACCCAATTAAAGGGATCCAAACAGACGACAATGATTCCGGTGAAACCGCCGCGGAGTATATCGCCGGCGCCCACACCGGCCGACCGGAAAGAGCCCCCGGTATCGGGCCATCAGTCACACAGCGATGAGCTTCTAATTGATATCAAGTCTACGGCCAATGAAGTCAGTAATACGACCAATGAGTCGCCGACGCCTCCGGTGAGCGTCAACGCGAACACCGGTCTACCGGTTCAGCCGCGGCCGCGCCGACCGTTGCCGCCCAATAAGCCTAAGATCGCCGCATCCACTGAAAACACTCATCTATGATCTTAACCACTGATTGTATCGTTTAATTCTCTATGCATTCGTTCAGAACGAGTCATACATTTGTGTTGATGTGACTCTCGATTTCAGAAGTCATAAAAGCCATTCATATAGTCTTCAAATCCATTTTCAACGCCTATTTGTTGCGCTCTCTTTGAAATTGTTTTTAGATTTTATAAATTGAAATTTTAATACTATTAAAACCGTCTAATATATAGCAATGAATGTCGCAATCAATTAATGTTATGCATAGAAAATGAAATGTGAAAATTTAAATGCCTTTTCAATATCAGTGCCTTTTCTTCTCCCAAATGACGATAACTGTGTTTAAAGTGAAATCAAATCACGATTTGTTGATAAAAGATGTGTTAAATATCCGTTACTATTATTGAAACGTTGGCATCGCTTTTGTCAGGATATGTAGTATACAATCCATTGCCACTAATAATATGCCACTTCTAGTCCATTATATTGTAATTTATATAATGATTTATAAATATAATAACTCTTTTCCTTTCCTTTCATATTTAGTGGTCAATGAAATCAGAAAAACATATTTTTCTCCTAATCCTAAGTGTCGACTAATTTATTGATCCATTTCTTAGAGTTATGTTTTCTCTCACAACCAATTCCTCCTATGGTTACCACATAAAGACTATCCGACTGTTTATTATGTAAATTAGCAGTTAATTGTGTGTTTAAATTGATCGTTAAATAAGTGTTTTTCTCCCAAAAAATTATAATTAATACAAAGTTAATTGATTTGTTACTCATATATAATGTTATTTTTTAAATTTAATTATTAAACTATTTTTAAAATTTTTTAATTACTGTGAAAATCTGTGACCAAATAATAATGTTTTAGATAATAAATTTAGTATTCAATTTTCAAATTACATTAAAATATTATTGTTTTTACTATTATTATTGAAAAATGAATAATAAAAAGTACGAAAAATTAACTATTTTCTAATGTAATTCAAACTAATTGATAAATAGTTAATAAAATATAATAAATCTATAATTTATTAAAATTCAATGAGTAGTTAAATCAAAACTCCGATACAAACGGAAACATAAATTGCATTATAATAAGCGTAATGTTTATTTAGAAAATTAATCGTTACATAACATCAACAATAGATATAATGGTCATAATGTGGTGAGATTTGTAGCACATGGTAAACATAAATAGCTCACTCACGGGACAGTCGTTGTCCGTCCGTTTACTTCTTCCTATGTTTACCGTTTGCTCCAAATTTGTTGGACTTCTTCGGCGGCGGTTTTGAATTGTTTTGCTTATTATTACTATTATTGTTACCCTTTTTGTTAAAACTCCTATTGTTTTGCGGTTTGTCGTCGTTTCCGTCAAACTCTCGCTTTTTGTCAAACTTTCGCTTTTTGTCAAACTTTTGTCCTCTTTTATCCTTAAAATCATTGGTTTTGGATTTCTTAGACATTCGACTAAAAC